CGAAGCAACAGACAAAGGATTAATCTCAAAAATATACAAGCAACTCCTGCAGCTCAATTCCAGAAAAATAAATGACCCAATCAAAAAATGGGCCAAAGATCTAAACAGACATTTCTCCAAAGAAGACATACAGATGGCTAAAAAACACATGAAAAGATGCTCAACATCACTCATTATCAGAGAAATGCAAATCAAAACCTCAATGGGGTACCATTAGATGCCAGTCAGAATGGCTGCTATCCAAAAGTCTACAAGCAATAAATGCTGGAGAGGATGCGGAGAAAAGGGAACCCTCTTATACTGTTGGTGGGAATGCAAACTAGTACAGCCACTATGGGGAACAGTGTGGAGATTCCCTAAAAAACTGAAAATAAAACTGCAATATGACCCAGCAATCCCACTCCTGGGCATACACACCGAGGATACCAGAACTGAAAGAGACATGTGTCCACCAATGTTCATCACAGCACTGTTTATAATAGCCAGGACATGGAAGCAACCTAGATGCCCATTAGCAGATGAATGGATAAGAAAGCCGTGGTACATATACACAATGGAATATTACTCAGCCATTAAAAAGAATACATTTGAATCATAGAACTGATTAGAACATGAGATGGATGAAACTGGAGCCCATTATACAGAGTGAAGTAAGCCAGAAAGATAAACACCAACACAGTATACTAACGCATATATGTGGAATTTAGAAAGATGGTAACAATAACCCTATTGTTAAAAGAGAAAGGGTTTCACAATAACAGATGTATAGAGCATACTTTTGGACTCTGTGGGAGAAGGCAAGGGTGGGATGATCTGAGAGAATAGCATTGAAACAAGTATACTATCAAGTGTGAAACAGATCGCCAGTCCAGGTTGGATGCATGAGACAAGTGCTCAGGGCTGGTGCACTGGGATAACCCAGAGGGATGGGATGGGGAGGGAGGCGGGAGGGGAGTTCAGGATGGGGAACACATGTAAATCCATGGCTGATTCATGTCAATGTATGGCAAAAACCATTACAATATTATAAAGTAATTAGCCTCCAACTAATAAAAATAATTGAAAAAAAGAACTAGAGTTCACTTTTCCATTTCTCCACCCCCCTGGACCTGGGTAGGCCCTGTGACTACTTCAACAGAATACTAAGTGACATCATGTCAATTCCAAGTGTTACCCTTAAAGTGCTAACTTACTGCTTCTTGAAATCCAGCTACGAAGCATAACTGCTCTGAGATTAATATGCTGCGAAAAAGCCCCAGACCACCAGGAGAGGCCCCAGAGGATGAGATACCATGTAAAAAGAGGACAAGGAACCAGACATGCAAGTGAAGAGACCATCCTGGGCAATTACCTCAGGCCATCCTTCAGAAAATAACCCCGGTGCCAGCCATTTTCTCATTACAGCTACATAAGAGACTTCAAGACTGAATGCCCTGCCTGGGACCAGTCAACCCGTAGAATCATGTAAGATAAACTATTGTTTTAAGCTACTAAGACTTCAGGGTGGTGTGCCAAATGCAACAATAGACACCTGGAACAGAGAGGTAATTTGATGATTTGGGTATCACTTCAGGCATAGTAAATGTGGGAAATGTTTTTAAAAAATCATATTCTTATAATAACAACTACTATATCAGCTAGAGTTTTTCATAGTGATAAACAGAAGCTAATTCTGACTGAGTTAAGCAGATAAGTGTTTTGAAAGCACAGTGGGTAACTCATGTCTCATATGAACCCCTGAAGACCTAGCTCCAGGCTAAGCAGGAATTAAGAAGACAAAAGCTATGGCCCAAGACCCTTCTGAGGAGGAAATCACTGACATCATTGCCACAAAAAATGACCGAGCACACCTGGCCTCTGGGTTTTAGTGTCACTGCCTCTCACATCAGAGTCCTGGCATAGCTGGGCTCTGATGGGCCTCTGTCTGTGCTGCAAGGGGGCTGAGCAAATGAGTTACCAGTGTTTTCAGACACAATACTGACAGGTAATCCTTGTCCCCATCGAAGTCATAAGGGTAAGAGTGACTTCTCCAAAAAACAGAAGTTTAAATTAAAATGAGTGACAAGAGCTCACCACTGCTACCAGGAACCCAAACATGTATATACATTTATATGAGTGTATATGTGTGTATACATGCATTATGCCATTCCTTTCCTTTTTGGTCATTTATTTCATTTTTAATTTTTATTGGAGTATAGTTGATTTACCAAAATGTGTCAGTTTCAGGGGTATAGCAAAGTTAGTTATACATGTACATATATCCACTTTTTAAGATTATTTTCCCATACAGGCCACTAGAGTATTGAGTAGCATTCCTTCTTCTACACAGTAGGTTCTTATTAGTTATATATTTTATGTCTAGCAGCATGTATATGTCAATACCAATCTCCAGATTTATCCTCTCTCCTCTTTTTCCCTGGTACATTACATAATTTCTGCTTAATTGCAATATTTGCCTTCCTGATAAATCTAGCATTCTATAAAATTAATACTAAAAGTAGCACTCATATTAAAACTAACACAACTTATAGGAAAAATAGTATTAGGAGCCTCCCTCTTAAAATCTGTACAAATTTGTAACTGGAGTTATTAACAAAAATAATAACAATCCTAATAAAAAGTACAGCAAAAAAGTTAAAGTCCTCATAAAGAAAGTGAAGTCGCTAAGTCATGTCTGACTCTTTGTGACCCCATGGACTGTAGCGCACCAGGCTCCTCAGTCCATGGAATTTTCCAAGCAAGAGTACTGGAGTGGGTTGCCATTTCCTTCTCCAGGGAATCTTCCCAACCCAGGGATCGAACCTGGTCTCCCTCACTGCAGGCAGACGCTTTACCATCTGAGCCACCAGGTAGGTACTAAAATAAATCTAAAAATTTTACCTAAAAATAACTGAAAAGTGAACTGCCCTTCTTGATGGAAGGGATACAAGGGAATGTCAGGCTGCTGGGTTACGGCAGCAAGGGCAACATGTCCAAAGACTGGGGAAAACCACGCTATGGACACTTTAGGAACAGAGCAGTGGATTGAACGGAGCCCCCCAAATAAGGGGTGACTAGACATCGTGGACAATGCTGTATTCTTCACACTTGCCATGTTTAGCTGTACAGAAACACCCTGTGATGAGCTGCTGGCATCCGCGGAGGAAAACAGTGTGCTGGTGAAGTCCATCAGGACTTCCACGTGAGGCCACCACTGCTCCACTCTGTACCAGCCACGTATGAGCTCACTCGTGTTTGCAGAAGCCTGGCTGCAGAAACAGAATGTTCTCTGAGTGTGTGTGAGACAGCGAGAAAGAGAGAAAGTGAGAGAATTCACACAAACTCTGCAAGCCAGGTGTTACTGTTACTTCATAAATGAGAACATGGAGGCTCAGAAGAACACATCTGACCTGGTTCAAACAGATACAAGTGTTAAGTTGAGACGCAAAGCTTGTACTTTCAGGTTTTGAGATCTACTCTCTTTCTACCCTGTCTTGTAGTTTACTAGGAAACCAGCTTCCACGATTACAAATTCAGACCTACGTCTCCAAGTTGGTAGGCAGTCATGAGCCTAGTGAGACTGGACTTGCATAGTCAGCATTGTCTTTGAAAGTAAAAAATTGACCCACTTGATTTTTTTCCAAGGTAGATACTGGTTCCTTGAACCCTCCATCAACTCTGCCTCAACCTGTTTCAGTGACTTTCCATTTTCCTGCTTTCACCTAAGTGAAATGATCATCATTCGTCATTCATCATCATGATCATACAGATGATCATTTCAGAAGTACAATGAAATTTCCAAGAAGAGCTTCTAATCTCTTTGAACAACATATTTTTCTTGCAGAAAAAAACAATTTCACTTCTCACAGATATCAAGGGAGAAAAAATGTTTCTGGCTTACGCACAGATTTTTGCTAATATCTCTACCTCTGCTTCTAACTTTTGCATGAACCACCTAACTGAAGAAATATAAATGCCTGAGTGGGGACCTGTCAAGGAGTGGATATACTCAGTCCTCTGAGGCTGAAGGACCTACCAAATATTCTAAAACTAATAATACTTCAAGGATGAGGTTCACCAAAACAGAGGCTGAGGGATGGACAAGGAATGAGATGTTATATGAACACAAGCTGCCAACCAGATTCAAAATCCTTTGAAAACGATAATCTCCTGGTCAGGTCTAGATTTTAAGAGAATTGTTAACCCACACTTCCTGACAACAGCTCGAAAGCCGAGTTGTGTTGTGAGAGAGGATGTTATGACTGGATAAACCCCCATCATTTAACAAATAAGAGTCATGAATCACTTAGTGCGTTACATCTACATTGCAGTGAACAGCCTCTCAGGGGTCCCCAGAACTGATATTCCTTCTTAACACTTAACTTGCTGCTCCTGGAGCGGTGGTTCTCACCTTAAGTGTCCATAGAATCACTGAGGGGGCTTGTTCAAAGAAGATTTCAGCTTCATCTCCAAATATTTCAGATTCTGTAGGCCTGGGGAAAACCTAGAGACTGCACTGCTAAAAGTCCAGGCGATGTTGTGAAGACTACTATCCTAAAGAAAGCCTGGGCACTAGACAAAGATCCAGTCCTGTTTTGTTCCAAGTGGCAAATCTGAGGTTAACATTCCTTAAGCTTCTTTGAAATTAGAGGATTTTCAAAGAAATCATATTTTTCAAAAGTCATCCATATTTCTTCGCGTGTGAGCTGTCTATCTCTGTCCTAAAGAAGCTTTTTGAATTTTGATTATTTTGAAAGATAAAGAACACATCTATTTCCAGTGACTCAAACAAGCACTTTTTCTGCTTAAGTGAGAGCTAACAGGCCTAACATGTTTTTCACTGTGTGTACGTTTCACAGAGCAAATGTGTTTTACTGGTGCACATTGTATATTCATGTATCATTAATAAAAGCATCTCATAAGAATTCTAAAATATGGTATTCTTGCCTTACCTATCCTTTTTTTCTTAATTATTTTAAAGCAAGTATCACACAGCTTATCATTTCACTTCTATAAACTTCAGCATACAGCTTTTAAAATTACAGACATTTTCTCACATAACTGCAATGCTAATATCATAATAAATAAAATTAAAGGTAACTCCATGCTATTTAATGACAATTCATATTCAAGTTTCCCTGACTGCCTCAAATTTTCTCCCCACAGCTTGTTATAAACAGGATCCAATAAGATCTATATATTAATGTGTGCCTTAAGTATCTTTGAATATAGAGCCAATCTTTCTTCTTTGGCATCTTTTTCTTTTGCTTTTCCTTCTTTGTCTTACTTTTTAATCTCAATGATGCTTTGAAAAATACAAAGTCAACTATTGTAGAACATTCTGTCTTTGACTGCTTCCTGATGCAATCATTTAATCTGTTCCACTACCAGCACAGAAGTTAGACTTACAGGATTATTTCAATTTAAATTTTCTTGGCAAGAATATGTGCTAGGTGATGCTGTGTATTTCCTTGCACACAGTATCAGGAGACATGTGTATGGCTGTGTTACTCTTAGAGATGCTAAGTTTCATCAAGTTGGGCCTGAAGGGTTCTTGTGGGTTCATCTTGATCATTTCTTTGTAAAATTTCCCATCAACCTTTTGTCTAACGGTTTCATCCACTGATGATCACCCAGGCAGGGCTTCTGCACCCTGGGATAGATAGCAAAGGGTGAAACCAGTGTTTCTTTCCTTGCTGCAGTACCCCCATCCCCCGTCCTCTCCCTTCCCTCTGCAGGGTGTGCTATACAGGCGCTGATGTTGCTCAGCTCAGGGCAGTGGGCGTGCTATGGGGCTGGAGGGCTCCTATGTTGGCAGGGAGTTTTCCAATTCATTCCAAATTTCCCACAGTCACTGCGTTAAATGATCCAATGTGGTGGGCAATGTCACTGAAGGGAGAATGTTTAAGCTCCACCTGTATCTCAGAGTATTTACTGGAACAATGGCAAGTGGGAGAGGTCTCCATGGCTGTCTGTTTACTTCATATGCTTGGGATGCCAAGAAAACACTTCTGTGTGGAGAATCTTACAGCCACATTGTCATATGCTCAGGCAAAGCATCTCATGGATCTCAGCATGTACTTGGAGACTCCATCAGTTCAGTTCAGATGCTCAATTGTGTCTGATGCTTTGCCACCCCATAGACTAAAGCACTCTATATGTCAGCAAATTTGGAAAACTCAGCAGTGGCCACAGGACTGGAAAAGGTCTGTTTTCATTCCAGTCCCTAAGAAAGGCAATCCCAAAGGATGCTTAAACAGTGCACAATTGCACTCATCTCACACGCTAGTAAAGTAATGCTCAAAATTCTCCAAGTCAGACTTCAGCAATATGTGAACCATGAAATTCCAGATGTTCAAGCTGGTTTTAGAAAAGGCAGAGGAACCAGATATCAAATTACCAACATCCAATGGATCATTGAAAAAGCAAGAGAGTTCCAGAAAAATATCTACTTCTGCTTTATTGACTACGCCAAAGCCTTTGACCGTGTGGATCACAATAAACTGCGGAAAATTCTGAAAGAGATGGGCATACCAGACCACCTGACCTGTCTCTTGAGAAACCTGTATGTAGGTCAGGAAGCAACAGTTAGAACTGGACATGGAACAACAGATTGGTTCCAAATAGGAAAAGGAGTACTTCTAGGCTGTATATTGTCACCCTGATTATTTAATTTATATGCAGAGTACATGAGGAGAAGCACTGGGCTGGAGGGAGCACAAGCTGTAATCAAGATTGCCAGGAGAAATATCAATAACCTCTGATATGCAGATGACACCACCCTTATGGCAGAAAGTGAAGAAGAACTAAAGAGCCTCTTGATGAAAGTGAAAGAGGAGAGTGAAAAAGTTGGCTTANTCGAGTTGGTGCTGCCATCCAACCATCTCATCTTCTGTCGTCCCCTTCTCCTCCTGCCTTCAATCTTTCCCACCATCAGGGTCTTTTCCAGTGAATCAGTTCTCTGCCTCAGGTGGCCAAAGCATTGGATCTTCAGCTTCAGCATCAGTCCTTCTAATGAATATTCAGGACTGATCTCCTTTAGGTTGGAGTGGTTGGATCTCCTTGCAGCCCAAGAGACTCTCAAGAGTCTTCTCCAACACCATAGTTCAAAAGCATCAATTTTTCTATGCTCAGCTTTCTTTATAGTCCAACTCTCACATCAATACATGATCACTGGAAAAACCATAGCTTTGACTACATGGACCTTCATAGACAAAGTAATATTTCTGCTTTTTAATATGCTGTATAGGTTGGTTGTAACTTTTCTTCCAAGCAACAAGCATCTTTTAATTTCATGGCTGCAGTCCCCATCTGTAGTGATTTTGGAGCCCCCCAAAATAAAGTCTCTCACTGTTTCCATTGTTTCCCCATCTATTTGCCATGAAATGATGGGACCAAATGTCATGATCTTAGTTTTCTGAATGTTGAGTTTTTAGTCAGCTTTTTCACTCTCCTCTTTCATTTACATCAAGAGTCTCTTCAGTTCCTCTTCACTTTCTGCCATATTGGTGGTGTCAGCCACCTATCTGAGGTTACTAATATTTTTCCCATCAATCTTGATTCCAGCTTGTACTTCATTCAGCCTGACATTTTGCATGATGTACTCTGCATATAAGTTAAATAAGCAGGGTGACAATATCACAGCCTTGACATACTCCTTTCCCTATCTGGAACCAGTCTGTTGTTCCATGTCTAGTTCTAACTGTTGCTTCCTGACCTGCATACAGATTTCTCAGGCAGGTAAGATGGTCCAGTAATCCCATCTCTTTAAGAATTTTCCACAGTTTGCTGTGATCCACACAGTCAGTGGCTTTGGTGCAGTCAATAAAGCAGATGTTTTTCTGGAATTCCCTTGCTTTTTTTGTGATCCAACAGATGTTGGCAATTTGATCTCTGGTTCCTCTGCCTTTTCTAAATCCAGCTTGAAGTTCTGGAAGTTCTTGGTTCAGGTACTGTTGAAGCCTCGCTTGGAGAATTTTGAGCATTACTTTCCTAGCATGTGATATGAGTGCAGTTGTGCAGTAGTTTGAACATTCTTTGGAATTGCTTTTCTTTGGGATTGGAATGAAAACCGACCTTTTCCATACTTCCCTCTTTAAGGGATAGAGGCCTCTCCCTTTCCATTTCATTCATTTCCTTAACAAATAAAAGGGCTAATCTTTCTGTTATCATTTTTCATTTCACAGAATTCCAGGCTACTTGATGTTAATTTGTCAATTTTTATGTCATGATGTCATTCTCATCATTTCAAAAAAAAAAAAAAAAAGGTTTCTCTATAGACTGCTTTGACTCTAACTGACCTGTAAAGACAACTTTCAACTCTTCAAAGGCTTAAAGAGGCATCCCATTTACTTTAGTGTTTTTATTTGGCGTCACCCCACCTATTTCTGGGGACAGAACCAGGTACAAAGAAAGACGGTCAGACCCAGACCAAACACTGTCAGCGGGAGCACATCTTGGCCAGGACCTGGGGCCCCCGACCCTTCCCTGCTCAGCTCGCCCCACACCACCAAGTGCCTGGTAGCTGCAGGTACTACTGCTTTCATTCTCCACTC